TTTTAATTCTTTTTCATTTCTTAAACTTAATATTCATGTGTTTGTCCTCTTGTGAGAATAACACATCGTTCCGTGCCTCTTTCCTGATTACAGTCCAAAATTCAGTAACTGTATCATAGTTAAGAAATTTTTAACTTTTAACTTTTTCTTTGTTATTCAATAGTAATATCAACAAATACTTTTCATAAAAGTATTCATATTTATAATACAGAGAATTCTATAAAATTTTATCTTATACAATAATTTTTTCGACAAATTTCCCGGTCATGATGACACTTTGAGTTAATTTTTCGTGGCAAATGTTATAGAGCCACTTTTGATAGGTATCATCCCTATTATTAGATTAGGGGTGTGTTTCTAATGTATAATCTTGTGAGTGGCATCCGTTCCTATGGCTTTAGTGCAATCATGTATTCTAACCCTTGGGTGACCTTTTAATGAAATTACCATATTTACCTTAAAAAAATAGAGTATCCCTTCATCAACTGAACGTGATCGAGACAAACGTAATAAGGACAAATTAAACGAGTGCCCCTCAAACTATAGGTCGTGTCACAAATTGCCTGTTGAATTTCAATTTGTAACGTCTGTTCCTCCCAAACATTGAAAGTCTTGTAAATTTTTGTCATATGTTAAATTTTTAACGGAATTGAGGGCATTTTAGTAAAAAAAAAATATTTTAATACATTAGTAGTCTTTTTCATTTATTTATCCCAAATCCATCATTAAACTTAAACTTAATCCATCATTTAAGTAGTGTGACGTTAGGTTGTGATGGACGCCAGTGATGTTCTGGGTTTCGCGCGATAAAGATCGGCGAGGTCTGGGTTTCGTGCTTCGGAGGCCGTCGAGGTTCACCTACTTAGATCTAATTCTTTCCATGTTGATGCATTTCCAAGCCTTTTTATTTGTTGGGTCTTGTTTAGCTTATTTCCTTTTTATCTCTCGATCTATTTCTAAGAAAAAGTGGATTTTTTTGGGTTTAGTTTTGTTAATTGCATGATCGAATTGTTGGGTTTTTAGACAATGTATTTTATCGTTTGAATTCATTCATTTTTTGCTTTGTTTTTCAAAAAAATATTTCGGCATTACTCTTGAAGTTTTGAAATTTGATTTTGTAATATTCCATAATTGCATATTAAAGTAATTCTATGAGCAATTTTGTAATTATATTTTTAATACCACAACTCTAAAGACAGTTGTGCGGCACTAGTCATTTTTCATTAAAATTTTAACGGATGGGAAAATTTACATATTTTTAGAATTCAAGAAGAATGGATGTTACAAATTGAAGTTCATGGAGCATTTTGTGATGCGGTTTATGTAACACCCGGTTGAATTAATTGAGATTAATGAATTTAAGCCCGTTTTAGTGTTAATTAATTTTAAAATTTACGTTTCAAATTTAGTTATAATTATTTCATTATAAAATGTTTTGCGATTTTAAAAATTATTTTCAAAAATTATAGTTTGACCCCTTGACTTTTACATATTTACAATTTTATCCTAAATATTCTGAACTTTATAAAAAATGCCCATGTTAGATTTTCAAACTTATTTTTATCTATTATGTGGCGGGAGTGTTTGGAAAAGACAATTTTGAGTTCAATATCTTATTTACTAAAATTACTTATAACAAATGCATTTGAGTTGACATTTTAATAATGTTGCATAATGGTTTTAAATCTAATTTTAAGACCCAAACATCCCACTTCTAATTATTTTGTCATCTATTCTCCTCTCTCTCTCTCTCTCTCACGTTAACTCTCTCTCCCTTTCTCACTCTCTCACATTCTCTCTCTCTCTCTCGGTTCTTCCTTTCTTCCTCCATGAGAGGTGCTGTCTAAGCTTTCAAAATAGAGGGCTTTCACTCTATTTTTGATGGGTAATTCAACCTTAAAGTTGATTTCAAGATTCAAGGATGGATTTCTATGAGATTTTAAGAAGCTTGAGGTAGGGTTTTCCCCCTTCTTCTTTAATCCAAAAATATTATTTTCTTTGTAGTAATTTGTTTGGTTTAGTGATGCTCTTTATTGACAATGTTTTCTAAAGCCTTAAACCTTACCTAATTTCTAAAATCCCAAATTGTCAAAGTTGGAGTTTACTAAAGTATGAGTGTTTTTAAAATTTCTCTCTTGAATGTTATTATTTTGGACTTAATCATAATTTCTCAATAAGTTTTAATGTTAACTATGTTAGAACCTTAAAATAGACTTTTCAAGCTTTGATAGGAGATTTGAATCACCCACAAAGGAGTTTTGTAGCTTAAGTTATGAAATTTTCAAGTTGTTGGAAAAAGCTGTTAAGGAACCTAACCTGGACAGGTTTGATTCTGTTGAATTCTGAGAATCTTTGGAGATGAATTTTAATGAATGGGTTACATAATTAGAAACTGGACATCCTAAGTTTCGTATAGCCGCAAGAATCACCTTAAACAGACAACTATAGTTCAAATTATGCATTTTCAAAGTTAAGCATGATTTTTAGAAATTTTGCAGAAAACAGCCACATTTTGATATGGTATAGTGTGATTTTAGATATCTTAACATACCCAAAACTAAGCTTATGATATCTCTTTTGAAAACTCTAGATGTCTAATTCGATTAGGCACTAATTTTGTAATTTTTGGGGCTGTGTAGAATATATTATGATTATTTTCATAACAGCCACTAAAGCTACTTTTAAAAAAAAAAAATTGATAAAATAAAAAACTGAGACTCTTACTTTTTGAAATAAGATTGCTGTACCTAAACCACCATTACTACCATTTAGAACATGTTATTAGTGACGTGTGGGAGTTAAAATCACGTCATTTAGAGTTTTGTAACCCGAGTCGTGCGCATTATAAGTTTCTACAAGAAACTTCCCAAAAGCTGTCAAAACCAGAAAACGACAGACTTTTGATTTCTTGAAAACTGTTTTTGAGGCATTTAGAGAGCTTGGATTTGGGCATATGATAGCTCGTTAGAAATATCAACGTGTCTACTTTCTTATGGAGTTCATTTGAAATTTTTGGAGACTTAGATAATAATTTATGTATATTCCCGTCAAGGTCAACAGATTTGCTAATTTACTGGATTTATGAAGAATATAGATTCAAGTTAGAAATTGATTTATGATTGAACAATTGGTAATTTTGAGCCTTTGTGGTTATTATTAAGTATGAGGTCCTAAAGGGAATATGATGAAAAGTGTTAAAAGGATAAAACCAACACTTGATAACTATAATATCTCAAGGAGACTTAATGAATCTTATTGGAGTACGACACTTTTACATTGTTGTTTATGCTTTCATGGATATTTTATAGATTATTGAACTTAGCATGTTCATTTCTTGAGTTTTGATCTTATTTGAGCATGAGATTGCATTTCTCTTCCCTTTTGGACATATTTCATGGATTTCTACTTTCTCCGTGTAAAAGTTAGTTTTCATTGATGTTGAGACTTTAAAAATAATTCTGAAAAATATATCTGTATATATATAGCGATTATATAGAAAACCTTCCCAAAAACCTGACTTGCGCGAATCATGATTTTCGGAAGTGAATTTTAGAAAACAGATTAAGTCTCGAGTTGAGATAATTCGAGCATAATATATTTAAGTTTTCAAACATTATCTAATGAGCATTTTAGATAGTTGACTTCAACATGATGGCCTAGAGATCGAGATATAGAGATCGTATCGTTGGACGCAGGTCTAGAAACCCATACGGGCCACTTTCATAATGGTGATATCAAGACTTTGCACCAAATTACGTATCGGTACTTTGAAAGAGCATTTCAAACTACCAGCGTATGATCTTTATCTTTCTTCTATTTACAAATTACTTGGATATCCTAGTGTCTAATAGAATTACAAATACCCAGTATTTGTAGACTACATAGACACCGGGTACCTTATCACTTTTAAAATTAATTTGAAAATGATATAGTATTTTGAAAGAGTTTTCAAATACTTGATTATCCGTTTGACTATACATTTGACTGCCCCAGTCATGATTATGTTTTTTTTCACATATTATCACCTCCTGCATTTGAGTTATGCATTTTATTTTCGATAGTGTTCGAGTCTTTATGAGTATTTCACCTTCCTTGTTTTATTGTCGTTATCTCTTTTTCCCCTACTGGGCATTTGGCTTACCCATACTTTAAATGTTTTTCTCCCTCCAGAGTTAGCAGTAGATTTACAGCGTGGTAAGTTGATGCCAATGGATTGAAAGCTCGAGATTCGAGGTGGTTCATTTTATTTTAAATTTACAGTTTTTAATTATGTTTTCATTTTTATGATTTTTTTTAATTAATCCACTTTAATTAAATTAAAATTTAAATTAAACTCAATAATTACAGTTCTATCTTTAAGGTCGTGACAATTTATAATTCAAGGACAACCGTTATAATTTGTTTAAGTAATAATAATATGCAATAATTACGAACCATTAATTTAAACTATTTATGAACCAGTAAACAGGATACGTGGTCGGTGGTGCGCATCAATTTCCTCACCAACTTGCGCATCAATTTCCTCACCAACTTATGATCAATCTACTTCGTCAAAAATTAACTTATGACCAATCCACTAGAAAACAACTTCAAAAAGGGCATTGGAATCAAATGTGATCCATCGATACTAGTAACCCGTTGAAAAAAAAAAAGTCTTAACTATTCATGATAGAGAACATCACGGCTTATCAAATTGACTTTAATGGTTTAACGTAGGTAATTTAAATTTGAATATTCTTTCATTCCAACTCTTAACATAATTAATGGAAGTGCTTAGGCCGAACACAACACAACCATATATACCTAATTAGCAGCCAATGGAGGAAAGAAAAAAAAAAAAAAAAAAAAACTCGCCATGCAACGGAGCATGCATGTATGGTATGTGCTATGTGAACATAATCACACTATTGAGTACAATGGTGCTAAACTGCATATTAATAATAAAGAGTGAGTTTTATACGATAAGATATATAAGTATATTTATATTACAAAAATTGTGGATGCTTAACACAAATGGCGTCTCGAGAGTTTTTCAGAGTGGTACTGGAGTTGATAGGTAAGTCAAATTAAGTTAGTCTTTGTATCGACTTATCCCAAGTCAAATTTCTAGGTTAGCGGGTTCTTGAGCAACTCGTTTACATTGACTTCTGAGATATTAACAAAACAATGTACATCACCTGAGTCGTTATAACACATGCAAGCTATGAATTATTGCTCGTATGACGTAGATTTTTTTTTGTTTTGTCCAATTAATATATCCCTAGCACCAAACGTATCATATGGAAAAGAAACTAACTAGTTTACATTTGACAACGTACGTTGCCGTGTTAATCATGCAGACGAAAGACACCTCTGGTTTAATCTTAACTGTCGTGTAAGTATGAACTTATCTATGCCAATGTGCTTTGATTAACCCCTTCAAGCATTTTTTTTTCCATTCTTTTAATTGCATTGGAAATAAAATAAAATAAAATTACTAATTACGGTACAAAGTACCTCAACATAAAGGAAGACTCAACTCCAAAATAATAAGTTCCACCATTAAATTCAAATGAAATGTTTCTTTAAAAAAATGTAGCAAGTTCCATAAACAAAAGCCCAAATAGAAATATCAAATTGTACCAAACACATATGGCTCTTCCTCCACAATTAGAAAAGGTCCGATGGATTGAGATCGATAGACGCAAAACACCAAGACCACACATTAGGGTGATTTCAAAGAAACTTGTCACTTTGACTTCCCGTTTTAAAAATAAATGAAGAATTTTTTTTTTTTTTTT